GTGCAAAACTGGTTGGAAAACCGTTCCCAGAGAGTAGTTATCAGTGGTTCACAGACATGCTGGAAGGGCATAACGAGTGGGGTCCTGCAGGGATCAGTTCTGGGTCCAGTTCTGTTCAATATCTTCATCAGTGATTTAGATAATGGCATACAGAGTACACATAAAGTTTGTGAACGATACCAAGCTGGGAGGGGTTGCAAGTGCATAGGAAAGGATAAGATTAAAATTCAAAATAATCTGGACAAACTGGAGAAATGGTCTGAAGTAAATAGGATGAAATTTAATAAGGACAAATGCAAAGAACTTTATTTAGGAAGGAACAATCAGTTCCACACATACAAAATGAGAAATGACTGCCTAGGAGTATTGTGGAAAGGGATCTGGGGGTCATAGGGGACCACAAGCTAAATATGAGTCAACAGTGTAATGCTTTTGCAAAAAAAAGGATCATTCTGGGATGTATTAGCAGGAGTATTGTAAGCAAGACACGAGAAGTTATTCTTCCACTCTACTGTGCGCTGATTAGGCCTCAACTGGAGTATTGTGTCCAGTTCTGGGTGCAACATTTCAGGAAAGATGTGGACAAATTGGAGAGAGTCTAGAGAAGAGTGACAAAAATTATTAAGGTCTAGAAAACATGACCTCTGAGGGAAGACTGAAAAAATTGGCTTTGTTTAGTCTGGAGAAGAGAAGACTGAGAGGGGACATGATAACAGTTTTCAAGTACATAAAAGGTTGTTACAAGGAGGAGAAAGAAAAATTGTTCTTCTTCACCTCTGAGGATAGGACAAGAAGCTATGGGCTTAAATTGAAGCAAGGGTGGTTTAGGTTGGACATTAGAAAAAACTTTCTAACTGTCAGAGTGGTTAAGCACTGGAATAAATTGCCTAGGGAGGTTGTAGAATCTCCATCATTGGGGATTTTTAAGAGCAGGTTGGACAAACACCTGTCAGGGATGGTCTAGATAATACTTAGTCCTGCCTTGAGTGCAGGGGACTGGACTAAATGACCTCTCGAGGTCCCTTCCAGGTCTATGATTCTAGGATTCTATGTTTTCAGCTGTGATGGGCATGAGTAGTATATGTAAATACAACTAAGGAATATCGTGAAATCTAGAGTTTGAACCTTTGGTTTGGAACCTGAACCCTGTGGAATGATAGAATCAGAGGAAGTAAAGACAGATTAGTCCCATCTGGCCCATCCCTTGGAGACCAGTGTATAGAAGCCACCTTGGCAGGCCTTCCGAAAAATTCTACACCTGCAGCCAGTCGCAAAAAACTCCACCAGTAACAAAGCATTAAATGTTTGCATTAGACTATTAAATAATAATAATAAAACCCCCTTTAACTTAGAGATGCACACATTACTTGTAACAATACTACAAACAAGGTAAAAATTGCCTGCCTGAATCTTCCGTGAAGAGCATTCCTGTGGGCGAAGTGAGAGGCTCAATGAATCTCTGGAAATTTCCAGTTAGGGCAGAAAAATAAAAGCAGGTGAGTTTCACCTGACTTGGGGGATCTTTTGAAACCAGCGGATGTGGGGCAGGAACCTTCTCGCCGCAATCTCCTCCAACAAGCCCCAAGCACCCGCATTAGCTCTAGTCATCTGCCAGGCAAAGTCCCCCTGGCCTCAGGTTCTGGAATTCCCTGGGCAGCCTGTTAGCCCACCACCTTTATTGCCACCTTGGAAAGAAAGGCCTACCAATGGGCCCACGCCACCAAAATCCCTCCTGCGCCATTTGCTAAGAACTGAGGACTGCCCATTGGGGATTTCCTTGCATCCCCATGAACTCTGGAGGGACACTTAGCCCAGAGTTTAAGGAATGGTAGTAGAGAAGTAACTGTGGAGGAATTTCCTGGTCTCACTGCTACAGAAAGCAGTGGTGAGTGACTGCTTCCTCCTCCAGAAGACGCTGCAGAGTAAAATTAAGTAGAGGGGGCTTGCCAGCTGTCTCCTGAAGAGCCAGATGGCGGAACCAACTGCAGGATAAGATGGCTGAAGGTAAGAAAGGAGAACAGCATGTTCTGAGAAGGCCGTGAGGGAGTTTAGTGGGTTTTGTGACACAGCCTGTGGAATCTGCTGTGGTTTCTCTCTGAATTTCATTTTTAGTTCTGGAGGCCATCTGAACTCAAACCTCAGAAGAAAACCCAAGTGTTGCTGAACCACCAAGCTGAACATGCCAGAACCATTCACTAAAATGCACAAGCACCAAGATCATTGGCTTTCACCCAGCCCCTTTCTAACCATCAGTAGATTTTAAAATTGTATTAATGAAGTCACTTAAACAAGTTGTGGTCTGAAACCAATGTAAATTTATCTCCCTACAGATACACAACACCTAGTCATTGTTTCTCTACCATAATATCGACTATCTCCCGGGGAAGCAATATCTGTGTTAAGTTCATTATGGGATGTAGGTCCATAAGACAATTTATTTGATTTAACCTTGTACCCAGCACTAAATTCACCAGGAATTTCAGGGGCAGATGAACCCGACATTTGGCAAAGTGGTTTTGTGGCCATTTCACAAATGATATATGGCTTATGTGATCTATGAATCATTAATCTGGTAAACTGGGGGGTGAAATGTGCATGCAAAATTTGCATGAAAGCCAGTGGGAACTGTAACACACTCATTCAAGGAGGGCACTGACTGTGTCCGCCTTCTTATTGCCTAACCAATAAGGGGGCCCTATGCTCCTGCTTCAGACCTGGTGTAATAAGAACTTTGGGACCTGTCTTGATGGCGATAAGGAGGAAATGATAAAACCGTGTTTAATTTTGTTGGGATTTCATATGAGTTGCTTGGTGATACTTCTCCTGTAGTTGGTTATTGTGATGTTTGGCTGAGGAACTTCACTAATGTTTATTCCAGGAACTTAGACTCCAAATTCCTGGTGTAACTAACCCCCCTAGGGGAGCGCCTAGCTGAGCTAACCCTTGATTGCCTGCAATGACCTGCTCAAGCCTCAAGGTGGACAATGGTGAGGCTGAAGAGAGTGGTGGGTCTACACAGGGTCCTTATCAGGAGCCAGTCTGGAAATCCTTTGTGTAGACAGAGCCTAGCTATTTCTCCCAGTGTTGTGAACAGGTGTAGTCTCTAGCATTCCCTTCCAGAATGAGTAGTTTATGTTAGGTCCTACAGGCCCCCTGCTAGCGGAAGAACAGGTCTAAATAGGAGAGGGAATACACTGATTCCAGTTTTATAAGGACAAATACAATTCCAATATTTTAGATAATACAGAAACATTTATTAACATCATGTCAGAGTTACTAAGAAGGAACAATGATAATACATCAGATCAAGGACTATGTGGCTAAAAATAGAGTGTCATAGAGCAATAGAGATGAGAGAAAAGAGGGAGGGAAGGAAAGAGAATGTAAACTACAGTGGTGTAGTCACATTGTTTGGGCATGTAATGAAACCCAGCCCTTAAAATTATTATACCAGAATATTAAAGCAGATTGCTACAGACAAACAGATGGTACCAGAAAGAAATTCACTTCTGAAAGATGCTTATCCATGCTGTACTAGACTAGCAGTTGACACCAGACGTTGGGTCACTGATTAGCCTGGAGATGTATCTGATTCTTTGTAGCTATCAACAAATTGAGTTAATTCATGATGTAATTCCCTTGACTTCAAGGATGAATCTGACCCATGGTCTGCAACTGGAGTCAATAAAGGTTCCGCAGAATGACGATGGAAAACTCCATGGCAGAACTTCAAAGGTCCCTTCCAGCCCTCCTTGATGCACACTCAGATGAGTGACCCATATTCACACTCTACATGGTGGTCTGGTCTTTTGTTCCCCATGTTTTTGGCATTTAATAATTTTTGCTGCTGGCTCCCCTGGTCATTTTGTGATGTGCAGCTGCGGAAATGTGGTTTCTGAATTTGATCTGCAGCAGCTAGCGTGGAGGGTGGCCCAGGGCTTTTCAGCCTCTTGGGAGGCTCACCAAATACTAGAGTAGCAAACTGAGGAGCCGTTCCATCCAGGTAGCTGTCTTCTGCTTTGTGTCTGCCTCTCAGTATTGTATTATGTGCTGTATGGAAAACGCCACAGCATAGGTAACCCTAAACGTCACAAAAATATGTGAATAGGGTTAATGATGTTTTAGTAAGTTTAAAAGCATGATGTCAAACTGCTTCCGCAAATTCACAAATAGAAAAGTACACCTCTACCTCGATATAACGCTGTCCTCAGGAGCCAAAAAAATCTTACCACCTTATAGGTGAAACCGCGTTATATCGAACTTGCTTTGATCCACCGGAGTGCACAGCCCCGCCCCCCGGAGCACTGCTTTACTGTGTTATATATGAATTTGTGTTATATCGGGTCATGTTATATTGAGGTAGCGGTGTAAATGGATTTGTTCTCACTTCAATGGGAGTTTGCCTGGCAGAGCCAGATCATTCCTCTACCTGGAAATAACCTGCCAATGGGAAGGGAAACAATATGAGATTCTCCTCACAGTGCTCCCTCTCAGTTCTTCTCTGAAGGACAGTCAGAGGTGGAGATTGCCCTGGTGCAAAAGAAACCAGGGATCTGGACCCCGTGTGGTTCTGTCCCAACTCCCTGACAGCATGGCTCCAATTGTGTTTTCATGGGGGAGGGAGAAATGCCCATCTCCCCTAAGACAAACCCACCCACTCCCTGCCCCTGACTGCTCAGATTCCCAGACCCTGCACTGGGGGTGAGGGAATGCTGTGGCAGCTCATGGGATCCTCATAGAGTTAAACTTGAGTCATCTAAAGGTTACTTTATTTTCTTTCCTATTGCTCCACTTCCTCTATTTTCTAAAGATAAATAAGTATGAAATGAAAGCCTGCAACTCTGCTGGGAATTTCTGCAGCTTGTTTATTCTGTGAAAATACATCATGTTATCTAAGTTTGGTCCAATTATTAAAAGCAGCAGCTTTCTTATATAAACATCTTTCAAGTAAACTAGCTGGGGCTTTGGGGAACAGAGCTCCAGGACACAGAGGACTTGCTCAGAAATTTGAGGATGAACCTTATTCCACTGTCAGCCCTTTTAGCATTTTTCTATAGCTTTGCACTATGTAAACCTGTCCAGGTGTGTTCATGCTGCCATGGCAGTTTAGACTTTGCATCTCTGCAGATCGACCTGTCTGTCCAAAACTAAGTTATAATATTTCAGCGTAGCCCAGAGTTTGTTGTGATTCTACCTAATGATAGTTTTCTTTTGATGATGTGAACATACTAAAAGATTTCCTTTCCTTTTGCAGGTAGCCACAAGAAATAATGAAATGGGTGAGTTTGATTTTAACTATTCTATAGATACTCGGGGTTCTTATGGATAAGGCTGTCCTTTTTATTCCATACACTAAAGTACTTCAGGCCTGATTTTCAACTCTGTTATACAAGGCTTATACTAGCATAACTCCTACCACTTCAAAAGAGCTACCTCTGATTTACAGTGCTGTAACTGGGAGGGGAATAGGGCACATAGGCTAAAATTTTCAGACCTGGATGCCTTCTAAATCCATATTTAGGCCCCTAAATATAAGTGATTATGGAGATTTTCCAAGGTGATGAATCACACCTGCAGAGCCTGTCGACTTCAATGGGAGACTGGAAAAGGGCAAATATAGTGCCCATCTATAAAAAGGGAAATAAAAACAACCCAGGAAACTACAGACCAGTTAGTTTAACTTCTGTGCCAGGGAAGATAATGGAGCAAGTAATTAAGGAAATCATCTGCAAACACTTGGAAGGTGGTAAGGTGATAGGGAACAGCCAGCATGGATTTGTAAAGAACAAATCATGTCAAACCAATCTGATAGCTTTCTTCGATCGGATAACGAGTCTTGTGGATAAGGGAGAAGCTGTGGATGTGGTATACCTAGACTTTAGTAAGGCATTTGATACGGTCTCGCATGATATTCTTATCGACAAACTAGGCAAATACAATTTAGATGGGGCTACTATAAGGTGGGTGCATAACTGGCTAGATAACCGTACTCAGAGAGTTGTTATTAATGGTTCCCAATCCTGCTGGAAAGGCATAACGAGTGGGGTTCCGCAGGGGTCTGTTTTGGGACCGGCTCTGTTCAATATCTTCCTTAACGACTTAGATATTGGCATAGAAAGTACGCTTATTAAGTTTGCGGATGATACCAAACTGGGAGGGATTGCAACTGCTTTGGAGGACAGGGTCATAATTCAAAATGATCTGGACAAATTGGAGAAATGGTCTGAGTTAAACAGGATGAAGTTTAACAAAGACAAATGCAAAGTGCTCCACTTAGGAAGAAAAAATCAGTTTCACACATACAGAATGGGAAGAGACTGTCTAGGAAGGAGTACAGCAGAAAGGGATCTAGGGGTTATAGTGGACCACAAGCTAAATATGAGTCAACAGTGTGATGCTATTGCAAAAAAAGCAAACATGGTTCTGGGATGTATTAACAGGTGTGTTGTGAGCAAGACACGAGAAGTCATTCTTCCGCTCTACTCTGCGCTGGTTAGGCCTCAGCTGGAGTATTGTGTCCAGTTCTGGGCACCGCATTTCAAGAAAGATGTGGAGAAATTGGAAAGGGTCCAGAGAAGAGCAACAAGAATGATTAAAGGTCTTGAGAACATGACCTATGAAGGAAGGCTGAAAGAATTGGGTTTGTTTAGTTTGGAAAAGAGAAGACTGAGAGGGGACATGATAGCAGTTTTCAGGTATCTAAAAGGGTGTCATAAGGAGGAGGGAGAAAACTTGTTCACCTTAGCCTCTAAGGATAGAACAAGAAGCAATGGGCTTAAACTGCAGCAAGGGAGGTCTAGGTTGGACATTAGGAAAAAGTTCCTAACTGTCAGGGTGGTTAAATACTGGCATAAAATTGCCTAGGGAGGTTGTGGAATCTCCATCTCTGGAGATATTTAAGAGTAGGTTAGATAAATGTCTATCAGGGATGGTCTAGACAGTATTTGGTCCTGCCATGCGGGCAGGGGACTGGACTCGATGACCTCTCGAGGTCCCTTCCAGTCCTAGAATCTATGAATCTATGGAGCTGGAGTTGCTAAGGACCTCTGCAGGTTAGGCTACTACTATAATTTCAATTTTAGGGACTCAGGGCTTGAAAATTTTGGCCATAATTTTTTATCACTTCAAAAATAATCCTCTGTGTCAGTACCTAATGGTGGGCCCTGGAAAATGAATCCAATTGTCTCTTTGAAACTCACATTAACTTGATGATTTATGTTGGTATGATAAGGAAATCAAGCAAGGTTACTGAATACAGGGCCGGCTCCAGGGTTTTTGCCGCCCCAAGCGGCGGAAAAAAAAAAAAAAGCCGCGATTGCGATCGGCGGCAGCTCCACCGCACCGCTTTCTTCTTCGGCGGCAAGTCCTTCCCTCCTAGAGGGACAGGGACCCTCCACCGAATTGCCGCCGAAGAGCCCGACGTGTCGCCCCTTTCCCTTGGCCACCCCAAGCACCTGCTTGCTCAGCTGTGCCTGGAGCCGGCCCTGACTGAATAATTACCCCAAGGAATGCTATTTTGCCAATGAATATGACCAGTAAAAGAAGAGAGCAGAATCTCTTCACCCTTTTTATATAAGTGATCCCCATCCTGGCTGTCTGACGCTGGGCCAGATTCAGTCTTGATGTAAGCAAGCTCAGCTCTCTTCAACATCAGTGGTAGATGTGTCTGCTTATGCCAGAGCTGAATGTAGTCATTTGTCTCTATCTTCTCCTCCGGCCACTCTCCACACTTGGGGGTCACTCATTCACCTGTGCTGTCCCTTTTTATCTTTCCTGTGTGACATTGTCACTTCTTTGTCTGCACGCACAAAACTACACGTGTATTTGGCGCAGTAATCGATACTTACTGCCCATGAGAAACACAGGATGGGAATAGCAGTGGAGATTTGGAAGTCAGAACTGGGGGGCATATTATGATGTCATGTAATACTTCACAAGTTAACCCGGAGACTAATTAGGGGCACACACTGAATAATCCCCTTAGAGACAGTAATGACTCTTGGACAGTTTAGCAGATCTTTCTGGATGCCAGTTAAGACTTTTCTTTCACTCTGCAAGTCTCAATGAAGGAGAGCAATGCCTTACATGTCTAAAACACTTTCCATGCTGAAGGATCCCAAAGCTCCTTTAGCAAATGTATACACTGTCATTCACATGACAGAATGTCATCGATTAAAAGTGTGCAGTGGCCTATAAGTTATCATATTTTCTTCACTGGAAGTTAGGAAGGCCTTACCTGTCCCAGCACATCACGGTTTATTTTAAGAACGGCCATACTGGGTCAGATCAAAGGTCTATCTAGCCCAGTATCCTGTCTTCTGACAGTGGCCAATGCCAAGTGCTTCAGAGGGAGTGAACATAACAGGTAATCATCAAGTGATCCATCCCCTGTCATCCATTCCCAACTTCTGGCAAACAAAGGCTAGGGACACCTATGGTCTAGACAGTATTTGGTCCTGCCATGTGGGCAGGGGACTGGACTTGATGACCTCTCGAGGTCCCTTCCAGCCCTAGAATCTATGAATCTATGAATGAATAAACCATCCCTGTCCATCTTGGCTAATAGCCATTGATTGACCTATCCTCCACAAACTTATCTAGTTCTTTTTTGAACCCTGTTATAGTCTTGGCCTTCAAAACATCCTCTGGCAAGGAGTTCCACAGGTTGACTGTGCGTTGTGTGAAAAAAATACTTCCTTTTGTTTGTTTTAAACCTGCTGCCTATTTTCCACACAAACATATTTACTAATCCTTTTGTACATTATTAGAAATAACTTCTCACTCAGGACATTTTCTAAGACAAAATGGGCAGGACACTGAAAGTCATTGGGAGTTGGCTGCCAAATTCCCATTTGTGCCTTTGAAAAATCACCCCGTTTCCCATGTCTAGTATGTTCTTTATTCTCTTTATCTGCCTAGAGAGCGATACAACTCTGCATGAGGGTGACATTGTCTTGAGAAGGAAACGCAGTGCCATAAACTGTGACAGCAGCTGCTTCTGGCCCAAGTCCCGTGATGGGCTAGTCAACGTCCCAGTTAATATTTCTACAGAGTTTTGTAAGTCACGTGTAAATGTACCTGTGGTGTTAAAATCCATGCTAATTTCAAATTATGAGGATTATTTCACGGCGGTATCTCTGTATCATGTGTCAAAAGTGATTTTAACCCAAGGCAGCCTTTATGACTAATACCCTTCCCATCAGCTGCTCTTAGGACAGTTTGGCTAAAATAGTATATAATTTAGTAAAATGGATATTTAAAGGTGTGGTTAATTGACAGTATTTAGTTACATAAATACCAATGGATTCATACATACTAGTCTATATTTACTGACATTTAACAGCTATGGACCAAATAACATGTCTAATCTGTTAATACAAATATTAGTAATATATTATTACTTGTAGTAATAAATATTTTGTCCTCACATACTAGTTTTTATGGAAGGATCTCAGAAAGAGCCATACCAACAGTAAGGCCTGATTGTCCTTTCCCATGGGAAATGGTGAAGAGGAAAAGACAAAGAAATCTCCATGAGGTTTTCCCTGGAGAGATTTCTTCCTAATTGTTTTGCTGGGGTCAGTGGATCGGGGGTCAGTCAGTGGATTTGTGGAACAGGCTGCAGAATTGGTGCCTTAACCTGGAAGATCTCTATAGAAGCCCTGTCTTCATATGAGCTCTGTGCCACTTTCACCACCCTGCTCCCTTGCAGATTGATTCCTTTGGAGCAGCACTGCTCGGTCTGCAACCACCAGTGACTTCCCTGGGGACCCCTCCTAAAGAGTTATTCTCACTTTCAGGGGAAGAGGCATGGACATTTAACACAGCCTGGGTCTGGGTTAACTTTTCATGGGAATCACTGTGGTGCCATTTGGGGGCAGGTGGACAATGTGGGTCCACCTATCCGTACAACTGTCCCGCTCATTCCTCATCCCTTTCTTATTTGCATATCCCTGGACCTGCAGAACCCCCCTCTTGAGGCAAGGGGCAATGGGGTACACTGATGCAGAGGAATGACTGTGCCCAGTAATTAATTCAGTTTTACGACATCCCTGTGGCTAGGTAAGGATTATTTACTGTAATGTTACAGATGGGGAAACTGAGGCACAACATTGTTGTGGGACAAATTTTGAAAAGTGGGTTGTAATTGAGGGGGCCGACCTAAGCCAGAAGTTTCAAATATAGTCAAGCACTTAAAGGCATGTTTAGGCACTGAATAAAAATGCTCTGATTTTCAGGAGTGCTGAACACCTGCTGCTTCATGTGACTTCAGTGGGAGCTGCAGGTGTTCAGTATCTGTGATAAACAAGCCGCTTTTATTTAGCTGCCTAAATATAGTCAGCTGTCTAACTTTACACACCCCAGACTGACTATTTTGGCCTTAACCTCTCTGTTTTAGTTTCTCCATCTGTCTAATGGAGATAATAATACTGACCTACCTACCTTTTATTGCCTGCACAGTGGTTTCATCATGCAAAGCAATGTACATAAGGGATAAGTATAATTATTATTACTACCCTAATCACTTTGAAGATCCCTTAACCCTCCGTACTCTTATCCAATTTGACTTCTGTGATAGGAAAATAAGTAGGTGCAGAGATTTAGTGGAGTGGACTGCCACATAATAATCAAAATACCATTGTTACATATTCCTCCTTTTCTTCCTAGCTGTGGAAGAGAGGACTTGGATTGCTGAAGCAATGCAGGAGTTCACAACCCTGACTTGTGTCCAGTTTATAAATCGCACAACAGAAACCAACTACATAAGCGTTGTACCTGGGGAGAGGTCAGTTCCATCAGTCCTAATTGTGACTAGAACATATTCTTCAGTTTTCTTTCTTTCCTGCTTGACCTGGATTTAAATAGTCCCAGCTGACAGCAAACTCCAGGAGCCTGTGATTAAGAGAGTGAGTTGTCAGAGCTCATACAATTTTTCATTTTTCTCTTTTTGTTGATATTTTTGGTTGATTACGTTGCTTTTCAGCTATGGGACTATAGCTTGTTGCACGTGACATCTTTGGTTATTGGTTGCATGTTCCTTTCAGCTGCTGGTCTCACTTTGGAAAGATTGGAGGTATGCAGAAGGTGGGCCTCATGAAAACCGGCTGCATGAATAAAGGAGCAATTCAACATGAAATGAACCATGCGCTGGGTTTTTTACATGAACAGGTCCGGAGTGACCGGGACAACTATGTTAAGATCATGTGGGAATATGTTATGGCAGGTATGTCCAAGGGAGTGGTGTGTGGTGTTGATGGTGATAGTAATAGTGCTTATCCTAATTCTTTACATCTTTAAAATGTTTACCAAACATTACATAATGAGGGATGGGACTGGGGAACAGAATACCAAATAGTGACAAATTACTTCAGCAAATGTATTTGATTCTTCCTTCTCAGACACATTGAAATATATGTGCTTTCCCTGTGAGTGGGACGTGAGCATGTTTGCTCCACCAGACCCTAAAACAGTTTGCACCAAAAATTTTCAGCCATTCCCACATTATCCTGAGTAAATTTCAATTGCATTATCTTGTGCTTAGACATCAGAGGTGGTTTCTTGCAAGATATTATAATTATTTGTTATTTATATAATGCCATAGGGTTCTGTGGTGCTTTTCAATGAAGTATAAAGAGGAGACCCCTAAGAAAAGGGGTTAAAAATCCACAGTTTTACCAAAGGTAGTGGACTTGGTTCTGATCTAATTCACACCCATTTTACAGTGGTGCAACCTCACTGACTCAAATGTAGTTACTCCTGATTTACACCAATGTAAATGAGATCAGAATCGGGGCTCATAATGAGAGGACAACCCACCTGGATGCTGTGAGGACAAGGCTAACAAAAAGAAGGGATTTAGCCCTGGAGTTTCCCCAGAGACCGTGAGAGATTAAAGCAGGTGGCTTCACAGGTCTTTATAGTTATTACTTATTTTTATGATGCAAAGAAGAGTAAAAATAAAAAGACAAAGAAGGAGTTAGTATGCAGTGTTGGTGTAGTCCTATCAGTCCCAGGATATTAGAGAGACAAGAAGGGTGCAGTAATATCTTTTCTGGGACCAACTTCTGTTGGTGAGAGAGAGAAGCTTTTGAGCCACATACCCTTCTCAGACCTGAAAAAAAGCTCTGAAGAAGGCCCTATCCTTTTCCCATGGATGTCAAAGGCAGAATTCCCATTGACTTTAGTAGTGCAGGATCATGCCCTGAGATCTTTTGCAATTTCCCAGCTCTTCCACCTCCTATTTTTTCCCAGGGTTTCAGTATTTTTTTTTTTAAACCCTCCAGTTCACCTTGGAAGTTTTCCCATTTCTTTGCTTTGACAACATATTGCCTGCTGTTTTGTTGCAGTCCACTTAGATCCTTGAAACTTGGCTTATTTTTCTCAGGTTTTTTTAATACAAGATACTGTTCTGTTCCTTAGGCCAGAACTTCTATTTTAGCTCTTTCTCCTTGCTTATAGTGTTTAGGTTCTGGGGCCCCAATTCAGCAAAGCATTTCAGCATATGCTTAACTTTAATCACATGCTTAAGTGCATTGCTGAACACAGATGGACTTAAGCACATTTCTGGATAAGCACATGCTTAAATGTTTTACTGAGCTGGCGCCTAGGTACTCTTTTCCCTCTGTCCATAAGACTCCCCAAATGATATGTTATTGTTTACATTTGTTTGCCTCATCAGTCAGCTAAAAAGAATCTGTTATACCCCCTTTTTTTTTTTAAAGTTTTTCTCTGTAAATGTTGGTGGGCGACTCGGGGCAGTTTATCATGAGAGGAAGGATGATCTTGTGCTTGACGAGATCTGGGTTTTATTCCTGGCTCTGCCACTGACTACCTGTGTGATCTTGAACAAGTCACTTACGCCAAAATTTGGGTGCCTGCAATCAGGCATTGAAACCCGCATTTAGGCACCTGAACAAGTGTCCTTATTGTAAAAGGTGCTGAACACCTTCAGCTCTCTGAAGTGAATATAATATGAAGGAATGTGGTAAACTTTATAATTAAAGAGAAAATTTTGGCTGTAGCTATTTTGTGCCTCAGTTATCCCAACTGTAAAATAGAATTGTACTAACTTAACTCACAGGGACTTGATTAAGAAAATTAATGTGTGTAAAGGTGTTTTGAGATCCATGGATGGAGGGTGCTAGAGAAAGGCAAAGGATTTATTGCTTACATGGTTTTGACATTTCTATATAAACAACTGATGCTGAGGCCCTTTCATATCTGCTGGTTAATAAAAGAGAACAGCATAGAGGTGGAAAAATCACAGTAAACTGTAGCAGCTTTTCACTCCCCTCCTCTTGGCTATAAATGGGGCAAATGGACATTATCATGAAACTATACATTGGCCTGGTGGAATCAATGCTGATAAGAACCAACCTGAACCTTTCCCCAAACCTCAAATCAGTTTTTTGAGCTATGAAAAAGTTCGGTTACTTTTTTCTCCCTCATCCGTTGTTAATTTTTGGATTTTCCCTGCATTTCATAGTCCTGGATTGGCCCAGGAGTGAAAGTGCTAAATGAAGAGACTGGTTTTTCCTTCAAGCTCTCCGGCCCAGTTTTGCAGACTCAGACTAAAGAGACTCAGATAGCTGGGATGAATTTCTGATAAGCATTCAATGTGGGGGACTTATCCAAATGGTTCCTGCTTTGCCAGCCACTAGTAACAATAACAGAGAAACTCATGTCAAAGGGTGAAGGAGAAAGGAAGGATGGCCCAGTGGTTTTGGCACTAAACCTAGGATTTAGGAGACCTCCCTGCTCTGCCTCAGACTTCCTGTTCGACCTTGTCAAGTCACTTAGTCTTTCTATGCCTTAATTCCTTATGTGTAAAATGGGAATAAGAGCACTTTCCTACCTCCCAGGGCTGTGGTGAAGATAAATACATTACAGGTTGTGAAGGTCTCAGATATTACAGTAATGGGTAGGGGGGTAAAAGTATCTTAGATAGAAGGAACATGTTCACTAGGATCCTATCCTGTGCTGTTATGTTGGCTATAGGCAGGTTGGGAGTGAAGTCAATGGGAATTTGCCTGAGTAAGGACTGAGCAAAACCTGAATAAAGATCTCGGTGTTTGGCCCTTAAGAGGTATACTTTGGTACAACTCCATGGTCCATAGTTCATGTGGATCAAATTCTGAAGTCCTTACTTGGCTTTTAGGACCGGAGCCAAAACCCTCTGAAGTTGATGGAAAGACTCATATGGGCTTAGGTGGGCTTTGTGTCAGGCCCATGCTCAGGACAATCTCCAATGGGAATAAATATATTTTAAGTATTCTAACAGCTCTGTGAGGACTGCAGTAACACTTTAATACTTTTTTTCTGGTCTTGATCCTGTCTTGGTGGTTGAAATGTTGCTTTCATACCTTACAGGGGAACAAGGGAACTTTAGGAAAGTGAATTCCAATAACCTGGGTCTTCCCTACGACTATTCCTCAGTGATGCACTATGGCTTGTAAGTTGGAGTCTGGGGCTTTCTTTCATAGATGCAAGTGGGGCTCTAATCTCCTATTCAAACTTAGGAGACAGAATTGCTCTTTCTAGGGCATGGCTATTGCTATTGACTTAAGGTATGTCTATACTCCAAGCTGAAGGTGTAAATTCCAGCTTGAGGAGACATACCTGCGCTAGCTCCAATCAAGCTAGCGCACTAAAAAAAAAAAAAAAAAAAAGTATAGTCATGGTGGCATGAGCTACAAGAGGGGATATCCGCCCTGAGCACAATCCTGTCTGAGTCTCTAGACACGTACTTGGGTGGTTAGCTCTCCCGCTGCCACAACTACACTAATTTTAGTGCACTAGTTTGATCACATGTGATACGTCTCCTCAAGCTGGAGTTTATACCTCCAGCCTGAAGTGTAGACATACCCTTAGAAATGCGGGAACACTTATGACGAAGGGAATCTATTCCTACTGTCTGACTTAGCCCTGGCAAAGGTAAAGAGGGATGGGGCTGGAAGAGAAAGACAGTGGAGTAACAGATTTCAGAGTAGCAGCTGTGTTAGGCTGTATCCGCAAAAAGAACAGGAGTACTTGTGGCACCTTAGAGACTAACAAATTTATTTGAGCATAAGCTTTCATGGGCTACAACCCACTTCATCGGATGCACAGACTGGAATATACAGCAAGAAGATATTTATACATACAGAGAACATGAAAAGGTGGAAGTAGCCATACCAACTGTAAGAGGCCAATCAATTGAGATGAGCTATCATCAGCAGGAGAGAGAAAAAACCTTTGAAGTGATAATCGAGATGACCCATAGAAGATGTGAGGATATATTAACATGGGGAAATAGATTCAATTAGTGTAATGACCCAACCATTCCCAGTCTCTGTTCAAACCTAAGTTAATTGTATCTAATTTGCATATTAATTCAAGTTCAGCAGTCTCTCTTTGGAGTCTGTTTTTGAAGTCTTTTTGTTGCAAAATTGCCACCTTTAAATCTGTTACTGAATGGCCAGAGAGGTTGAAGTGTTCTCCTACTGGTTTTTGAATGTTATGATTCCTGATGTCAGATTTGTGTCCATTTATTCTTTTGCTTAGAATACAAAAACAGACTCCAAAGGGAGACTGCTGAACTTGAATATGCAAATTAGATACAATTAACTTGGGTTTGAACAGAGACTGGGAATGGCTGGGTCATTACACTAATTGAATCTATTTTCTCCATGTTAAGTATCCTCACACCTTCTATAGATCATCTCGATTATCACTTCAAAGGTTTTTTCTCTCTCTCCTGCTGATGATAGCTCATCTCAATTGATTAGCCTCTTACAGTTGGTATGGCTACTTCCACCTTTTCATGTTCTCTGTATGTATAAATATCTTCTCTCTCATGTAAAAATTCAAGTCTTTATGTACAATCGTGGGATTGGAACTTCAAAGGACTTTTTGGTACAATGCACATGAAGTGGATTTCTTAGGAAATAACTGGGGTTTAGGGGATGCAAATTTTCCCCTCCAAAGTCAACCTGTGAAACTTCTCCCTGGAGAGGTTTATCTATACACTAGTTCAAACTTGATTCTCCAGGGTCCAACATGATTGTGTGCTTGTTCTGAGCTGAAGCTGTGATGAACTTGCATCCACAAGGAGTCCCTTGAGTTAGAGGAGGAAGGACTGCTCCTGCCAGAATCCGTATTAGAATGAACTCTGGTAAACTTATTCATATGCATGTAGGTTCTTTTAGTGTTTTTAATATGTTTTCTCTGTAGTTCTTTTTACCATAAGATTAAATCAGGCTTGCCTAGGAAGTACGGTGTGGTACCTTATAACCGTAGCAATTGTTATCTCTTATCTGCCTCTGAAAAGAAAGCAAGCAGATGTCATTAGGCAATCAGTCTGTGCTGGAAAATACAGACAGGACAGGGAATTGTGCAGCCTGAAAATACTCTAGTCAGAAGGGAGATAGAAGGGAAGTCAATGGCTGTGGAGCAAGAAGCCTAAGAGTGGGTGCCCTTGGTGGACCACTGAGGGGGAATACAGGTGCTGTTCACATTTGCCAACTTTCACGTGGTAAATAAGCACCCCAACTTTCACAATAAGCCAAAAATCAAGCTAATCCCATTTCAAAACAAGGCCAAAACAAGCCCATCCCTAAGAACCCCAACACTCTATGTGACTAGATCCCCCCAGCGGGCAATCTGGGACTGTGGTGGGCCCACTGTGCACCCCTGACTCTCTCCCCTGCTTGCCCCTTTCCCCTCCTTGCCGGGAGCCGATCCAAAAACAAAACAAAAAACCACACAGAAGCAACAAACAACAACAAACTACAAGCCAAAAACTAGCCAACAAGCAACTCACAAGCCAATTAAGCCAAAAACAAGCCCAATTTCTGCGTTTTTTTCATGGATTTGGCATGTTTGGTGCTATTGCCCTGAGCTGTGACACCTTAGAGTAGAGGCCTTATATGGCCGTAACTTCAGGTCTGGCACTTCCAAGTCTGTCCTCTAAACCAGCCTCTGCAGTGTTCTTGGGGCTGGGCTATTAATTAGATCGCTAATTCACTTATGCAACAGTACTTAGAAAGACAAGGAGGATTCCTCTTACATCCTCAGGATGTTGTGTAGTACTTTGTGAAAATTGTGTATTATCTTGGCTCATGGCTTAATTCTACAATTTAGCCCTTAACACAGAAGCCTGTAGGAGGCACCTTGCCCCACATTTGCACTAATGGGCAGCAAATTTCTGAGCATTTTCCCAAAGCAAACCAGTAATTAAGATAAATAAATCCTGTCTAGCTGGAGGCAAGAGACAGCAAGTAGCAGTTTCAAATATTCAAAGAATCAGGAGCTCAGACAGCAACCTTGCTCTTCAGAGCATTCTGCTTGGGACACAGAGTTCATTCTAATGAAAGGTTTGGAAGGAGTCATCCCCCAAACAATACATTCTCCCCTTGTTTTTTCATTTCAGTGTTGCTGGACACAAAGCTGCTTCCTCAGTGTTCTTCCGGAGATACCTGTGAAGGCTCTTTGCTTGCCCTTTCCTAGTTAGTTAATCTCTTCCGAATCTTAGGCAAATGTTACTTAGAATATTTTCCACAATAATACAAATGCATCACTTAAAGTGGGATTTGACTTAGACACATGATTTCCCCTGCTTCTGCAGATATGACTTCTCTAACACCTCTGGGAAAGCAACTATTGTACCGATTCCTGATCCCTCTGTACCCATCGGACAGAGAGAGGGACTGAGTAATCTTGACGTGGCTAAAATCAACAAGCTCTATAGCTGCAGTAAGTGCTCCAAACACTATGTACTTAATTAAGAAACTTTATGATAGCTGCTAATTTCCTTCTAGCTTATTTTACTAGCTCCATTATTTTGCTTACAGTTATTTAATGCATTTAGTAGATGAGCATTGACACATTTGTGAACATGACAATTAATTTCTCTTTTATAAATTTGACAGCCGTTAATGGATGGAGATAGCTGTGACTGGATTTTCCCTTGAAGAGGATTTCTCTGCATCTTTCATTTTCTTTACAACTGTTTTCTTTTGTTCTTCAGATTGCTGTAGCAATGTGCTGCATAAACCTAGTGACACCTTCTCTTCTGTCAATTACCCATCCTTATATCCAGACAACAGCAACTGTCTGTGGCTCATTCGCATCCCACAGCATCAGGTGATTTTTGTTAGGAAAAAGGAGGTTTGAATAGGTGTTAATAATACATGGCATTATTTATCCGATTTTTAATGTCATAATTTTAATAATATTATATATTAAATATTATTTAACTGTGCCAGTGATTAACCATTGGAACAAACTACAAGGGAAGTGGTGGATTCTCCATCTCTTGATGTTTTTATATCAAGACGAGGTGCCTTTCCGGAAGACATGCTTTAGCCAAACACAAGTTATTGGGCTCAGTGCCTGAGTAACTGGGTGACACTTAATGGCCTTTGATATATTGGTGGTCAGACTAGATGATCTAATGGTCCCTTCTGACCTTAAAAAGCTATGAGATAATATATCACTTTCCGATGCACTGGTTAATAACATAACCCTTTTGGGGTCTGATTCTGCTCTCATATATATCAGTTTTATACTGGTGTAACTCCATTGATGTCAGTGGAGTTACTCTGATTTACACCAGTGTAAATGAGCTCTGAATCAGGTTCTAGGTGCAAAGATTTACTGCTTTCCAGGGTTTTCCTTTGGCCACTCTGGGGAACGGTGGCAGGGAGAGGGGAATCTCTCTGGCTGCTGGGAGGTGGAATCCGGATGAGACTCTCATGCAAGTCCAGTCCCTCACTCTCTGTTTTTCTATACTTGGTCCTGCTGTTCTTGTCAAACCAGGAAGCTTCATGGGCATGTAGCATAGAGAAGTGGCTGGGGACAGGAGAGTGGGGACTGAAGCAGCACTGGCAAGGTGAAGAGCTGGGGAGAGCAGGTTGGCAGCGAATGAAAGGTAGGCAAGGAGCAGAAGGGTCTCTATGGTGGTGTCATTACTGAAGGTAGGTGGAGGGGACTAGAGAGATGGAAGAGGCACCACAATTTGGGGGGCGGCGACTGCGGCGGCAGGACCTTCTGCCGCCTCTGTGGAGGGCGGCATTTCGGGGCGGGATCTTCTGCCGCCTAGGGCGGCAGAAAAGCTGGCGGCGCTCCTGGTAGAAGTCAGGGCAGATTTGAAGTGTTTAATTTTCATGTTCCTCTTCAGGTTTTCCTGCAGTTTGATGCTTTTGATCTTCAGCCTTCCCCAGACTGTACCTCTGACTACATCAGAATTTATGATGGAAGCAGCAGGAATTCCAGTGTCTTACTGGACAAGTTGTGTGGGATGGGGTCCTTACCATCATTGGTGGCTTCTAGAAACATGATGCTTGTAGAGTTTGTGAGCGATCAGGCTACTGCAGCAACAGGTTTCCAAGCCTCCTATAGCCAGGGTGCGGACAGTGCCTCATTTACAGAGCTTGGTGACATTTCTAATTTGTGCTTAGCAAATATTCATGTGCAAAACAGAACGTTTTGTGGAATTTTGCAAAATGTGTTTTTCTATATTTGAATTTTTGGTGGTAAACCCTTTTTTCCATGTTATCCCTTCCTCCATCCATAAGAACTGTTCAAAGCCAGCAGCTTGTGAAGCTGGGAATGAAGAAAAAAAATGAAAAATAGGACCCTATCTGGCCCTCACTCCAACAGCTCTCAGGTCTCACTTCTTCTTCTGGAGGTCAAGGAAGCCTTGTTGGGCTAGTTGAGGTCTTCTCAGTTACTTTTTTTTTTAAACAGGTAGCTGTACAGTAGGAGCTGCTAGCCACAGAGTGAAAAATGGCTGCAGAAAACTCCACTAGCCATCTGGATATCTATGCAACTTTAGATCTCATGAATGACAAGGTAGAAAGTAGGGGCCACATAGAAGGTATTTTTTAACAATGGGGGGGGGGAAAGAGAGGCAGGGGGAAAAGGGATGGCTTGGGTCTACAGGTTTCAGGCCTATCATTTTCTAGGTTGGTTCAAATCAGCTTATCTGTGGACTTACTCCCTTGTGAGGTCTGGGCTTACTACACAAACTAAGTAGGATAGGGCCCTGTTAGTATTTGGACAGGGGAGACTCTCCCCCCAAGAAACATCCAGGTGCAGCAGAAAGTGGTTTTGGTGCTTCGGCAGGTAGCCATCTGACCCCCAAGTCAATGCTGAACCAATGATTCCACACTGGTGTGATGCCAGAGGGTACCGAAGAGAATTCTTTCCAATAAGATGTAAAACCAAGGTCCTGGCCACTTGGTGGTTATTGAAGGTCCCATGGCACTTTATCTAAGACAGGATACTGACCCCAGCGTCTTGGCAAGTTTCAGAGGAAGTAATTACAGGCTGCCTACTTAAACTTTTCCTGTACTTTCCCTTGGCTCTGGTAATTTTTCACTTCCTGATTTCAATGCTTCTGTGTGCGTTTGGGACCCTCCCAACTTCTCTTGAGAGGTTACTGTATTTTGGGGGGAGCAGTGGGGAAATAAACTACTTGGTGGCTATAGTTTCTCTGTCATTAGAGAAATGCTATGGAAGGAAAGGCATCAAATACAAGTAAGATCATTACTACTTATTATTACTTCAACTCCAAAATGTAACTTTGGTTTTTATGGGGGAAAAGTGGAGGACACCTCACTGTTTGACTTTTCACAAAAATGAAAAAAAAAATTTAATTAATGTTGTAGCCAGCAGTTTGTTCCCTCCCACTTCCCTCCTATTTTTGTCACTCTCCCTTGCTGTAGGACTATGATACTAGGTATAATTTTCAAAAGTAAATTTTACCCAGGATCTGACTCCTTAGCTACTTTCTTGCAATTGGAGCTGCACAGGCACCGCACAGAAAATTATTAACTCTCTACATCAAATAAGTGCTCCTGAAAGCTCATTTCCTTTTTACTGGCTATACAAATATATAAGAAACTATTTCAGACACATTTTTGGGACTAGTTTACTAGAACAAGTTACTGTCTATCTACCACAAGCCTGGTCTCAGAATCAAGCACTGGCTGAATTCCTGGTGAACAGAGAGGATGATCTATAAGTAGAAATGTGTCATATTTACAATTCTGCTCCCTGCTGGTTGAAGAAACAAAAATTGGGAAAAAAGTGGGGATGGGCTTGGGAATGTGCCAGGGGAGGTGGGTGTGGGGCAAACCCTCCCTTGTCTACATTAAAGTTATTTAAGTTCAGACCTTTATTCAGCATTAAGTTGCAGTTTCCCCCTCTTCTCCAAAGGAGAATCAATACTATGCTCTAAGCTCCGTCAATACAAATGGAAGCATAGATGCTGGCCATAGAAAACTGAGTAGGAGACATTTTCTTTTGGCTCTAGAATAGGCCCATATTGATGTCCCTTTTGATTCTTTCTTCCTGCTCACAAGCTGTTAAGAAGCTCATTAACATTATCTGTGTGGTTTCTTTTCTTCTTAGTGAAATGTGGAAGCACTTTGACGGGCACAAGTGGAGTGATCACCTCCCCGAACTACCCCAACAGGTACCCCAAAAACCAGGACTGCTTCTGGATCATCAGTGCTCCAGCAGATTGCAAGGTGAGGTGTTGAAGGGCTATTCTGCTGGCTCCAGCAATGCCTTCTGACTGCTTCTCTTTGCAGTACAGAATACCAGTTGTTCTAGCGCATCCTAAGAAGCAACATCAGCTACTCAAAGAATGAAATTTACCCCTATGCACTGTGTAAATCCAACCTAAGCCTTCACAATAAAGACTTCAGTAGGTGCCATAGGCCTTATGTGATAGTTAAAGAAAACCATTTTAGCCTTGAATGTGAACTGATGGTGACGTTGTCTCATAAGTGGTAGGTTTAGCTCAAAATAATCTCTGGGGCTATGTCTACACTATGAGCTACCGATGTGATTCCTCCTGCTCCTCTACGCATATTTGCAATAGCTCTCATTGAGCTAGTGAGAGTCTGAAGAGCAGTGTAGCTGCAATAGCACAGATAACTGCGGTGGAGGCATGGCTTAGCCATGCCGAGTACATACTCACTGGTTTTGGGGGGAGGGGTGCATAATCGGAACAGCTAAGCCTTGCCTCTGCTGCCAATACCCCTGTTGTACTGCTATTTAGACTTACCCTCGCAGATAGCTAGTGCAAGTATGTGTATGGGAGCAGGGGAATCACACCCCTAGCTCGTACTGTAGACATAGCCTAGGTGAGAGCCAAGAAGCTGAAATGCTACACTGGTATTTTGAATATTTGCTTCTAGAGGTATTCAAAACTGTATCCGATGCCTTACTGCCAAAGAGAGTGAAATTAATCCTGCCACAAAACAGGAGATTACCCAAATGACCCACCCTCCAAACCAAATGCCTTTTGAGTTCAAACAATTTTATAATAAAATAAATTTACATTCAGTAACACTTAAGGCCCACCCAAGATCAGGGCCAGACTCCTGGGGCACTGTACAAATAGCAATGGACAGTCTAGGCCCCCAAAAATTTACAATCTAAATAGACAAGATAAAGGTTAAGGGAAAGGTATGCAAGCAAAGTGTTCTTGTTGTATTTTCTATAGATATCTCTAACAATGGTGTCCTTTGAGCTGGAGGACATTGATGAATGTAAGTATGACTATTTGCTTATTCATGATGGGAGCCGACCCACATCTCCAGCTGTTGGCCGATACTGTGGGACAATGCAGATTGCAGACTTTACCTCCTCGGAGAACTTTGTGCTGGTAGAATTTCACAGCGATTTTGTTTGGGTGTTTCCTGGATTCATGCTGAACTACACTTTTGGTAAGTCTAATTGCAAAAATTTAGGGAGGGTTGGTGAATTTTCATGTTGATAAAAGTGTGAGACTAGTTTGTTTTGGGCTAAGTTATTATTTTACTGCTCTAAAAGTGTACATTGTGAATCACACACAAATAAAGGACAATGTCCTTGATCTTAGGCCCAGGTCCTCAAGGTATTTAGGCACTCAACTAAATACTTTTGAGGATCTGGGTCCGACAGTTTAAGGGCCCTCTCAGATACGAGCATGTAGTTATAACCTGCCCATCACCAGGGCAGGGGCATATAGTCATTTTGTTACAAAAATAAATGGCCACATTTTCAAGAGTTCAGCGTAATAGATACTGAGCTCCATTGAAAATCTGACCCTAAGTGTCTGAGTGGGCATTTCTGTGCGCTGAGAACTTGTGAAACTATGGCCACCTTGTAGGTGTCTAAATGGAAACCAAGCTCTATTGAAAAGCTGTCCCTAGAGATGAGACCTAAGAAAGGATTATGACAAATGTTGTGGGGCAGAAGGATGTGAGATTAAAGGCTACAGCGTTAAGATTATGGCTGATTTTAAGTCTTGAAAGTCCCACCGCTTTTTTGACTGTTTGCATATGTATAAAACACACTTTATGTGAGGAGACGTTTAGAGTTTTATCCTAATATAGCTTCTAAAAATGATAGATGCACTTGGTATACTCTGAAACCTTCTTGAAGCATAGAAGATTCCCTGTCCTAGTGTTGAACATGCTTGTTTTGTGAGGGCTGGACACTCAGAACCCATTTTGCATAGGCCAAACGAGTCCTCACAGAGTGATGTAAAGCTCCTCATCTCTAATGATTAAAGTCCTAGTCCAAAACCTGTTGAAGTCAAAGGGAGCCCATTGATTTCAGTGCCTATTACGGCTCAGATCAAACACATTTAGCTGCCTAACTCCCATTGATTTCAATGGATTAGGCACATTACCACCTTTGAGAAGAGGGACCTAAGTACATTGTGTCCACAGTGCTCTCAGCATCTGATGGCACAGGATTAAGGAAATGAACCAGACCTTGAATTTGGATCTCCATAGGGTAGTCTACAGCACCAGCACACTATACGTCAACGCTGTATATACATGGTCTTTGCATTGACAGATGCTACAGTTGCAAATGTTCTGTAATTGCAGTTATGCCATCATGAAGGAAAACTCAAGGAAAATCTTCTTCCCCCAGTGCCAGGAAGAAAGAAAAGAGTGCCTGGAAGGACACCGATTCACCTTGCTCTTTACCATTTGCCTGCAATATATTTTTTCAGATACTGGTTCATTTTCATTTTCATGTGGGAATCTGAACTGTGAGACTGGTACCAAGATGAGAGGGGGTACAGAGAAGTGGAACTCGGGAATACTATGTGGACACCACACATTTTCAGCTCTGGTAAGAGCCGGCTTTCCAGGAGCTGTGAAGTCTCCCCATATTGCACATGGTTGCCTCTTTGGATTTGCACCTTGGATGGAGAATGTAACAAAATTTTAACTTTACTCATCCATGCTGTGGTCTCTTTCTGGCTTTGTCTTCACTGCTGAAAATGTGCATTTTTTTTACCCCAGGTTAACTAATGTGTGTGAGCTATTTTAAGTAAAAATGCAATGAAGACAAGGCACTTTAGTTCTACCGGAAGGTAAACTAGGTGACGTCAACACCAGACTGGGGCATAGTGCTGATCTTGCCTAGTTTAGTTTTACTATGAGGAAAAGTGCCTGTGCTTTACCTCAGGATTGCCCACAAGTGTTAGTTACCCCAACCCCCCCCCCCCCCCCCCCCCCGCAAAAAACCCACCCAATGACAACAAAACCCAGATAAGTGAGTTTTGGGTTACAGCACTCAGGCCACGCCTACATGGGGGCACTCCAGAAAGTTAAGGCAAATCAACTAAAAGGTATGAAGTCAATGGGCATAAATTAAAACATATCTGTCATCTCCCTTGCCCCTATGGTTTCATTCAGGAGTAAAGTGGCCTTAGTCTGCTGTAACTTAATCCTATATATATGCAGTGTTGTAGCCATGTTAGTCCTAGGATATTAAAGTGACAAGGTGGGTGACATAATATCTTTTATTCGACCAACTTCTGTTGGTGAGAAGAACTCTATGTAAGCTTGTCTCTTTCACCAACAGAAGTTGGTCTAATAAAAGATACTACCTCACTCACCTTGTCTCACTTAATCCTAAAGGCATTCTACTCCTGAATGAAACCACTCATGGGGGAGTGCAACTAACACACTTTAATTTATGCACATTGGCTTCACACTTTTAGTTCATTGCCTTAACTTTCCGGAGTGTCCTTTGTAGACATGTCTGGCTTAAGTCAAGACTACAGTGTCCTCTACTCACAACATCTTCACCCTTCACTCCTTGTTCATGCCCACTTGCTTCCCTATTAACAGCTAGTTAAGGTATGTAGCTGCAGTGGCTTTATCTTCAACCTACTGTCCTTTGGCCATTAACCTTCTACATGGCAGAGTCACTGTGGCTGCTTTCCAAGTTTGATTTTGTATTGGAACATCTGTGCACATAGCCTACCTGCATCAGATGGTAAGCTTTCTAGGGCAGAGTCTGTCTCTTCATATGCATGTATGTAGCACCCAGCACAATGGGGCCCCAATCCTGATTGTATTGCAGTAGTGCCCAAAGGCCTCAAATAAATTATCATAATGATGATCTAGAACGGAAGCAGGTTTTTTGAAATAATAATAATCCCTATTGGTAGATATCAAGCACTTTACAAAAGAGGTCAATATCATTCCCCCATTTTACAGACAGGGAAACTGAGGCACAGAGCAGGGATGTGACACTCAAGATTACCCACTAGTAGAGCTGGGAATGGCCCAGGAACTACATCCTGTAGCAGATCTTTGGCTACTGGAACAGCCCGTGGAAGCCTGTAGCAGGGTATACTGGCCCTTTAAGGTTACACCTTTCTCTGCTAAATTAAAGAGCCCTTTAGAACCTGGTATTTTCTCCCCAGGAAGGCACTTATACTGTAATCAAGTCACCTTGATTTTCTTTTTGATAATTGAAACATATGGAGCTTTTCAAGTCTCTCACTGTAAGGCATTTTCTCCAGCCATCAAATCATTTGTGGCTCTTTTCTGTACTCTCTCTGATTTTTCAACATCCCTTTTAAAATGTTGAGACCACAACTGGATGCAGTACTCCAGGTTCAGTCTCATCAATGCCTTATAAAGAGGCAAAAAAATCAATTCCCTACTCACTATGCCTCTGTTTATACATCCACAGATCAAATTAAGCCCTTTTTGCCAGAGCACCACAGTGGCCACACCTGATGAGTCCCTTGTTCACTATGACAGCTAAATCCTTTTTCAGAGTCACTGCTTTAGGATACAGTCCCCCATTCTGTAGCGCTTGCCTGCATTCCCTTGTTCCTAGATGTAGACGTTTGCATTTGTCTGTATTAAAACAGCATTTGTTTAAGTGGGCCCAGCTTACCAACTGATCTAGATCCCACTGTATGACTGGCTTGTCCCTATCATTATTTACCACTCAGCCAATCTGTGTTGTCTGCAAGCTTTATCAGCAGTAATTTTATATTCACTTCCAGATCATTGATGGAAATGTTGAATGGCATCAGGCTACTATCAATCCCTGCAGAATTCCACTAGAAACACCCCTCTTCAGCGATGATTCCCCATTGACAACTACTTTGAGATCTGTTAGCCAATTCTTAAACCATTTAACTTGTACTCTATTGATATTGTTGGAGTGCAAATTTTTTAGTCAAAATGTCATGCAGTATTAAGTGCAATGCCCTACAAAACTCTAAGTATATTACATCTACACAATTACTTTTATCAACCACACTTGTAATCTCGCCAAAAGAACAAGGTCATGTTTCTTTGACAAGACCTCTTTTCCATAAAACCATGTTGATAGGAATATAATTAAACCCAATTCTTTATCAACTGAATCCCAAATCAGCATTTCCATTATTTTGTCCAGGACTGATGTTTGGCTAACCAGCCTATAGTTACCCTGGTGAACCTACTTGCCCTTTTTGAATATTGGTACAGCATTGGTACTCTCTTTCCCCCAAATATTCCAAGATTTATTAGAATTATCATCAAAGTCAGGTATCTCAGTCAAGGCTTATAGGACTCTTGGGATCAAGTTATGTGGATCAGTTGATTTAATTTTTTTTTTAAATCTCTAGTAGATGTTGAGTAACATCCTCCTTAGCTACTAATGGACTGGAAAGTACTTCATCATCCTTATGTGATAACTACATTATCCTACTTCTTTCCAAATACAGAATAGAAATATTTATGAATTCTTGTTCCTTTACTTCATCATTAACAAGATGGAAATTGTAATATTGTAATAGCCCTATAGAATTGCTAGGATTTCTTTTGTTCCTCTTAGGCCTGGTCCACACTAACCCCCCACTTCGAACTAAGGTACGCAAATTCAGCTACGTTAATAACGTAGCTGAATTCGAAGTACCTTAGTTCGAACTTACCGCGGGTCCAGACGCGGCAGACAGGCTCCCCCGTCGATGCCGCGTACTCTTCTTGCCGAGCTGGAGTACCGGCGTCGACGGCGAGCACTTCCGGGATCGATCCCAGAAGATCGATTGCTTACGGCCGGACCAGGAAGTAAGTGTAGACCTGCCCTTATACTTAAAAAATTCCTTGTTGTCCTTCGCTCTGCTAGCCATGGATTTCCCCCTGACATCTTTAGCTTCTTTATCAATTTTCTACACTTAATGATTTTAAATTTACATGAATTTCTGTCTACTTCCCCTTTATTACGCTTGTTAGGTATTGCTTTTTTATTTTTAATTGCTGCCTTCACTTCACCTCTGAACCAAGGTGGGTTTTTAGTCAAAGTTGCCCTCTTCCTTAATTGTGGAATCATGACTTTTTGGCCATTTTAGTTCACATTTTTCTGTCTATATTTTTTCCTCTGACTCAGCTCCACTTATGATTTCCCTCAGCTTTGGGAAATTAGACCTTTAAAGCAGCACATGTGTGTATGTGTAGGGCTAGTTGGATCTGTCTTTTGTTTGCCCATATTGACGATAACTGGGTCATGATCACTGATCCCCAAGCAATCACCAACTTCCACGTCTCCAGGGATTATTTTTTCTTTATCAGTCAGTGGTCCAAAAGAGAATTACCTCATGTTGAATCAACACCTTGTGTGTTAGAAAGTCATCTATAATTTTAAAAACTCTAATAATATTTGAATTATGTTCTTTGGTGAGTGAGCCAACCTCTGAGAGGGTTTTTAAGGGACAGGGCCAAAGCAAAGTAAGTAGACTTTGGAAAGAAGCAAGGGAGGTGTCAGGCCTGGTGTCAGCTTTATTTATGTCAAGATCCCAAACCTGGAGCTAGTGGAAGAGGGAGGACACATGTTCCCCTTTAATTCTGAGTGACCAGCAGAAAGTGTTGCTGCTACACCTGGAGAAGGGTAAAGATTGATGGACCCTCAAAAGACCCCTAAGGGAGGGCTGTGACACAGAGGAGACTGTAAAGATTTTCATATTATTTGGGACTGCAAGATGTGGAGTTGGCCAGTTTAGCCTGCTAGCTAAACCAAGCAATCAAGTCAGGAAACTGAGGCAGCGGCCACATTCCATGAAGAGAAGATGTTATGGGGCCACAAGCAGCCAGATGTAAGAGCAGCTGAGACTGCTCTGTCTGGCAATGGGGAATCACCCTGCCACCCAGTTGCCCTGGGCTTGGGGTAATGCAAAGGTGATTTACTGCCACCCCCAGGGTTGTACTAGGTATAGCATGTCAGAGAGTTGGCCCTATTCTCCCTGCTGGTGGCTCACCAGCTTACTTGGAGGACATCCAGCCATGTGTTTTAATCTTCCTTGGGTCTCAGCTGGCTCCACACTGTTTCCTCCCTTTGCTTCTCTGGTACTTTTCCTGGCACCAACTCAGACTGTTACCTCCTCACAGAAATGGAGCCCCACAACCCACCTGCAGGATCATTGCTCCCTCCTGCTGCCAAAATACCAGAGTAGCTTAGACATAGCCTCTCCTAGAGCTCCACCCCAGAGGTGTGAGTCTTCTGGTTTGCCTCCCCAAGGGACATCTGAGAAGATGTAACACATCAGGCACACGGACATTTTGCACAGAATTCTAACTCCATGGCTCTTAACATAGATTACAGATCATAGTACACAGACATCCTGAACACACTGGCCCCCACTCTAGCTCACTCTTCTGTGCAAAGTCCTTGGGGGACTATTTGCATTCAGGTAGGCAGGATCTTCCCCTACCTGCTCAGGCTTCTGAAGCAGCTTCCCTCATCCTGAGCTGGTGAAAACAGCCAGAGACACTAAAATGATCAGGTCTTGCCCTCTTATAACCTTCCAGTCCCTCTGTCAGATGACTCCCACATCTATCACTTCAGCTGATCCCAGACCCCTAGCACATGACTCTTCTCCTGGAGAGGAGCCAGCCTATTGTTTGGAGCAATTCTATTTCAGTGGGAGAGCACTTCAGTCAATGACCCTATATTGTTATAGCCCTTTGCCACCAGCCTTTGGACTTGTCCTGTTACCTCCACAGCAGAGGTAACAGGACAACAGAGAAGGTAGAGAACCCTACATTCAAAATGGCATCTGCAGTTTAAGGTAAATACATATAAAGAACTCTGTAGAAAAGTGGCCTCACCACTGGTCCACCCTTTCCTACTGTGCAGAGCATGATCTCCTC